GTGACCCTACAGGACAGAGTAGAGCTGTCCCATAGGGTTTCCAAGGAGCAACTGGTAGATTCAAACTGCCGACCTTTTGGTTAGCAGCCAACCACTTAACCACTGTACTACCAGGGCTCCCTGGATTGAACAGTGCCCTCAAATTGTGTTGGAATCCTAACCCCTGTATCTGTGAACATGATCCCATTTGCGAATAGGGTTTTCTCTGTTGTGTTAATGAGACCGTATCAGTGTAGGGTGAGTACTAACCCTAATCAGTTCTGAGCATAAAAAGAACAGATTAGACATAGAAACCTGGACAAACTGGAGGAAGACAGATGCCACATGAAGATCGCCCAGGAACCAAGGAACACCAGCGCTAGAGAAGCTGGAGACAACGACCTTCCCCCAGAGCTGACAGAGAGAGAGTGTTCCCCTAGAGCTGGCACCCTGAATTCAGGCTTCGAGCTTCTAGCTTCTCTTCTTTAAAGCCACCCACTTGTGGTATTGCTATTATAGCAGCACCTGAAGACTAAGACAGCACCCTTATGACTACAGGGCTTTATCTTATCTAGTGCTAGCAGATGTGGGGTACAGTTTCAGGAAGTATGTAAAGCAGGCAGGCTCTAAGTGACTAAAAATCTATTTATTTGGGCTATTTTAAAAACAACTGGATGTGCACAAATTTGAGTTTGGTGCAGGCGGGCTTTTTCGGGCTAAGGAGCCTCAGCTTGCTATGAAGAAATAAACAACTTGGGGCCAAGACACAGAGGCCACTTTTGGGTCATTGATATAACACCTCACCTCTCAGAAGTACAGCACAGTCCGGGAGCTCGGGGCTGCTGATGAGGGAATAAAGGCCTGGTGGGGATATTCCAGAAAGGACAGCAAAACAGCCAAGAGGAAATGTCAGGATGGGGCCGTGTAGCTGGCCTCAAACATGAGCACCCCGGCAGGGTGGGGACCACTGTCCACGGATGTCCCCCTTGTTACCTATGACAAGACCAGACCAGACCCTCCAAATTCCCATTCTTTCTCACATAAAGGGCTCTGGTGGCGCAGTGGTTAAGAGCTCAGGCTGCTAACCAAAAGGTCAGCAGTTCAAATCCACCAGCCACTCCTTGAAAACCCTATGGGGTAGTTCTACTGTGTCCTATGGGACTCATAGATTCTGACTATGAGTCGGAATCGACTTGACGGCAACAGGGTTTGGTTTGCTTTTTTCTTTTCCTTCTCACATAAAAGATGATCTGAACTGTTTGTCTCCAATCACCCATTGAAATAAAATGTCCGTACCTCTCACATGTCCAATCATTAGTATGCTTCTCTCCTGAACGTTGACTCATTCTCACCCTAAGCCAGTATTCAATCACTCCTTAAAGGCCCCTCCTGAGGATAAGCTGACTTCAGGGAAAACCTTTTCTGATCTACTGTGTAGTCACGTCACCTCCACTCCATTCATCCCACTCCCCACACCCAGTTCTTTCTTTCTAGCCTTGTTCACACCTGCCTATAACAGAAAAGCCCGTTCCCGCCTGACCTTTGAGACGCTTGCAGATCTTATGGTCAATTAGTTCCCCTGACTGCGGTAGCCCCCCTCCCTATGGTGGTAGCCCCCATTTCCATATTGCAGTAGCCCCCTCTCCCTATTGTGCAGCACCCCCTAGCAAATAGTCCCTGTCTGCCTGTTGTGATAGTTACCCTCCCTAGTGTGATAAACTCCCCCTTTTAAATAGTCCTCCTCTCCCTATTGTAATAGGCCTTTTGAATAGTCCTTTCTTTTTACCTAAGTCAGAATTTGTTTTATATTTGACAAAATCAATCGTATTTCTGAGCACTTACTACCCGCCAAGTACTAGGGGATGTGGGAGGGGAGCTTGAGGGGATGAGAAAGTGAAGACACTCATTGTGTCACTGTGAGGGGGGAAGGGGCCTTATTCCTCCTTGGGTCTTCTGTCCCAACAGAGGCCCCAGGGCCTGGTGCTCACAGGGGCAACAAATACTGAGTGAGGGAGTGAGTTAGTGAGGGAGAGGGAGGGAGTGAGAGAGGGAGTAAGGGAGGAAGGGAGTGAGGGAGTGAGGGAGGGAGGAAGGGGAGTGAGGGAGGGAGGGAGGGAGGAAAGGAGGGAGGGAAAGAATGAGTGAGGAACGAGGGAGGGAGGGAGTGAAGAGAGTGATGGTGTGAGCCAGCGAGCAAGAAAGTGAGGGAGTGGTATAGGAGTAAAAATGCTCCCACACATACCCATTGTGAGGAGCTCACACCAAGTCAGAGACAGACATACAGCCAACTCAAGAGAACTGCTAGACACATAAAGGGTATAAGAAACAAGGTCTGGAAGCCCATAACAGAAATGATGAAATTCTAAAACGTTCACTATTTTGATATATATAAATTATGGTTAAAAAAATATGTAACAAAACATTTGCCCATTCAACAATTTTTACATATATAATTCAGTGACTTTAATCATATTTATCATGTGTAACCATCACCACTGTTTCCAAATTCTCTTTTGCCCTTAACAGAGGCTCAGCGACCCTTAAGTAATGACTCTGCCCTCCCCCCTCTCTCCCATCCCTTTGCTGTTGATGTTGTCTAGTCAATTCTGACTCATGGTGGCCCATGTGTGTCAGAGTAGAACTGTGCTCCATAGGATTTTCAAGGCTATGACGTTTTGGAAACATATCACCAGGCCTGTCTTTTGAGGCACCTCTGGGGTAGGTTTGAACTGCCAACTTTTCGGTTAGAAGTAAAGCACTTAACTTCACCACCCAGAGACTCCTTAAGCAATGACTCTTTCTTCCCCCCTCCCTCCTACCCCTGTTAACCACTAATCAACTTTGGTCTCTGTACCTTTGCCTGTTCTAGATAGTCCATGTAAGAGAGAAAGAGAGAGTATACAATACTTGTCTTTTTCGTAACTGACTTATTTCATTCAGTGTAATGAGTTCATCCATGTTGTAGCATGTATCAGGACTTCATTTCTCTTTATGACTGAGTAATATTCTATAGAACATTCACTCTTGAATGTAAAAGATCCTCCTCTTTGGGGCAGTTTGTTTGGCTGGAAATGTCTGCCTGGGGCCTAGTGTTGAGAAGGATCCTGAAGCCAACGGGAGCTTGATGAGGAAACATGAGAGTCAATGAGCAGGTGGCCAGGAGCCAGGTCCTGGGTGAACATCAAATGTATCAGAAACACCTGAGACATTCTAACCTCATGGTTTTACAGAGGAAAGAAGCACGGCCCAGAGAGATCACGTGCTTTTCCCAAGATTACAAAAGTGCTGCAAACGGTTAAACACCTGTCTGCTAACTGAAAGGTTGGTGGTTCAAGTCCACTTAGAGGCGCCTCAGAAGAAAGGCCTGGTGATCTACTTCCAAAAGGTCACAGCCATTGAAAACCCTATGGAGCAGTTCTACTGTGAAACACATGGGGTCGCCATGAGTTGGAATCCAGTCAATGGCAACTGGCTAAGTGGGGGAACACAAACCACCTGACACTCTTGCAGCCAAAGGGGAAGACAGATCCAGGGCACTTGATCGTTGCAGATCTTGCCAGCCACAAATGTTAAAAAATATACATATATGTATCAGCCAATGCCCTGGGATGATCTCTGTACCACGAGCTGGGGAAACGGGACACTTCTCTACCACCACCCGGCTGGGCTTGCCCTGTGGCTTGGCCAGAGTCCACAGCCCAGGGATTCCCCACCTGCTGTTTCTCTGGAATGAAAACCAGCACCAGCCACTGAAAGAGGATCATAAAAGCTTAAAATCACAGAGCAGAAGGGAAACTTAGTCTCCAGTCTACTGCTGAATTTATCAAGGACTTCATTCTACTTGGATTAACAACACCCATGGAAGTAGCAGTCAAGAACTCAAACAACATATTGCATTGGGTAAATCTGCTGCAAAAGACCTCTTCAAAATGTTAAAAAGCAAAGAGGTCACCTTGGGGACTAAGGTATGCCTGACCCAAGCCATGGTATTTTTAATTGTCACATATGCATGCAAAAGTTGGATAGTGAAAAAGACAGAAGAATTGATGCATTTGAATTGTGGTGTTAGTGAAGAATATTGAATATACCACGGACTGCCAAAAGAACAAGGAGCCCTGGTGGTGCAGCAGTTAAGCACTTGGCTGCTAAGCGAAAGGCTGGCGGTTAGAACCCACCAGCTGCTCCACAGAAGAAAAGACTTGGCGATCTGCTCCTGCCAAGATTCCAGCCTTGGAAACCCTGTGGGCAGTTCTACTCTGTCCTATAGGGTCATTATGACTTGGAATCCACTAGACAGCAACTGGTTTGGTTTGGTTGGCCAGAAGAACAAACAAATTAGTCTTGGAGGAAGTACAGCCAGAATGTTCCACAGAAGCACAGAATCAAGAATGGAGATACTTCGGTACCCATACTTTGGACATATCATCAGGAAAGACCAATTGCTAGAAAAGGGCATCATGATTAGTAAAGTAGAAAACAAAACAAAACAAAAAAACCAAACCCGTTTCCCTCTCATAGACTCTGACTCATAGCAACCCTACAGGACAGAGTAGAAAGTGTCCCATAGGGTTTCCAAGGAGCAGCTGGTAGATTCAAACTGCCGACCTTTTTGGTTAGCGGCCAAGTTCTTAACCACTGCACCAGCAGGGCTCCCAGTAAAGTACTGGGCCAGAGAAAATGAGGGAAACCCTCAGTGAGATGGATTGACACAATAGCCGCAACAATGGACAATAGCTGCATACCAATGATCACGAAGATGTCACAGGATCAGGCAACATTTCACTCTGTACATGGGGTCACCATGACTCAGAGCTGACTCAATGGCAGCTAACAACAACAAAGACCACCGATTACATCAGGGCTTACTCTGTGTTGTAAGCTCCGTGGGTTTTGACAAATGCATAATGTCACGTGCCCACCATGACAGTATCATGCAGTACAGCTTCACTGCCCTAAAACACCTGTGCTCCACCGAGGTTGGCTGTTTTTGAACAGAGGTCCAGAAACATGGAGTGCCTTACCCGCGTCATACAGCTGCGCAGGGGACTGTCCTCTGCAGAGGTGTGGGCCTGGGCCGTGTTGCTAGCCGGGACATCCCCAGCGCGGATTCTGGAGTCTGGGACACAGTAAGCACTCAGTGAGCTTGACAGAATAGCGGAGGAAGTTGCTTCCCCTCTCCAGGACACATTCCTCCATCTGTAAACCAGTGTAAAGGAAAATGGCGCCATGGAACCACTCACCGTCGGCCGTGGGGGATGACTCCATGCCAGCTAACCACAAGAAACACCTTATCAACAGGATCCCCGCGGGGACTCGAGTGCAGCTATGGTACCAGAATGTGCTCAGTGAGCTGCAGAACGCTATGGAAACGCCGTGGGACCAAAACCGGCCAGACTGTGGGGCAGACCCAGCGTTTGGAGGTCACCGAATCGGTGATCTCTGCCTATTGTTAATGCTTACACTGCCATCTGGTGGCTGGAAGAAAATCTGACATAAAGCAGCCAGAGTGGCCTATGTTGTAGTTAACGCCTGCTGAGTCACGTGTACAAAGGAAGAAAACACTGCCCCGTCCTGCGCCACCTCCTGGTTGGCGATGGAACTGTTGTGATCCACAGGGGTTTCATAGGCTGATTTTGGGAAGTAGATGGCCAGGCCTTTCTTCCTAGTCCGTCTTAAGTCTAGAAGCTCCGCTGAAACCTGTTCTGCATCATACCAGCTGCTGTCGAGTCAATCCTGCCTCATGGTGACCCTATAGGACAGAGTAGAACTGCCCCATAGGGTTTCCAAGAAGTGGTTGGTGGGTTAGAACTGCCGACCTTTTGGTTAGCAGCTGGGCTCTTAACCACTGGGCCACCAGGACTCTGTTCCACATCATAGCAACACACGAGCCTCCACTGACAGATGGGTAGTGGCTGCACATGAGGTGCAGAGACTGGGAATGGAACTCAAGTCTCCCACATAGAAGGTGAGAATTCTACCACTGAACCACCACCGCCCCCCAGAGTGGCCGATGTTGTTGTTGTTGTTTCGACCCACAGCGACTTCATAGGCAGAGGAGAACCGCCCCATAGGATTTCCCAGGCTGTAGTCTTTATGGGAGCAGATCATCAGGTCTTTTCTCCTGCAGAGTGGCCGGTGGGTTAGAACAGCAGACTTTTGGTTAGCAGCCAAGCGCTTAACCATTGCATCACCAGAGCTCCTTAGAGTGGCCCATATCCTTGTAAATTCAAGGAAAAAGGAGCTTCAGTGTTTACTGAGCACTTGCTATATGTCCCAAACTGTGCTGGGCCCTTTACTAACACCCTCAAGCTGACGGGACCATTACACAGGGATTAAGGGTGCTGATGTCAATCTGCAGTTTTTGGACACGGGAAGACGTTTATAATAATTTGCTATGTGAAAAAAGCAAATTACAGAGCAGTATGTATGCAGTCCTGGTGGCGCAGTGGTTAAGAGCTCAGCTGCTAACCAAAAGGTCGACAGTTCGAATCCACCAGCAAATCCTTGGAAACCCTATGGGGCAGTTCTACTCTGTTCTACAGGGTCGCTATGAGTCAGAATCGACTCGACAGCAGCGTTTTTTTAATGTATGTATAGTATAAGGAGCCTGAGTGGCGCAAGCCGTTTGCAATCAGCTGCTTACATAACGGTTGGAGGTTTGAACCTGCCCAGCAGCTCCAGGGAAGAAAGGCCCAGCGAACTGCTTCTGTAAAGATCACAGCCAAGAAAAACCCATGGAGCAGTTCTACTCTGTCATACACGGGGTTGCATTGACTCAACGCCAAGGGGTTTGGTTTTTTTATGTATGTATGGTATGAGCCATTCAAAAAATTTTTGAGTCTTATTTTATTTGCATCTGATTGCAGAGGAAAATGTGTAGAAGGAAAGAAACCTAGATGTAAACCCAAATGTAAACTGCCTCATTGGAGTGCTGAAAGGATCTCATGCGATAACGTATGCGAAGTGTGCATGCTGGAGCGTGGTAAGTCTCAGGAAATGTTAGCTGTTGTTGTTCGTAGTAGTAATACCAGAATTGTATCGATCATCATCAATATCGTCGTCTCTGGGTGATGAATTTATTTTTCCTTTATATCTATCTGTATTTCCTGAATTTTCTCTATTGTCCATGTATTATTACTTAAATTGAAATTAAGAAAAACAAGTTATTAAAATAAAACAAAGGGGAAGGGTGTAATAAGCTCCCACAGAGGGACAAGTTATAATTTTCGTGGATATCGTAGCAGCAAGATGTTCTTTCAAAACCCACTCAACAACAGACAGGCAAGACTTGCCTTCCTTTCCAGGCTGGGGCTAATCCTCCCTCTGGGCTCTGCCCCCAAGTTACCCCGGGACCCAAGTCTGCCACCTACTGGCTGTGTGGTATTGGGCAAGTTACTTGGCCTCTCAGGGAGTCATTTTCCTCATCTGTAAATGGGGATGTCAGGTCTCTGTGTGGTGCAAAGTTTGTGCTTGACTACTAACCTAAAGGTTGGCAGTTTGAACCCACTTAGCAGCACCAAGGAATAAAGGCCTGGCGATCTGCTTCTGTAAGGATTACAGCCAAGAAAACTCTGTGGAGCAGTTCTACTTTGTAACACACAGGGGCTCCATGAATCAGAAACTACCAGACACCAATGGATAAACGGGGATAATGGTAGGATCTACCTCACAGGGTTGTTATGAAGTTTAAATGACTTGATACTTGTAAAGCCTTAACAAGCATGATGCGTCTTTGCTATTATTATCACTAGGCAAGTCCCCACCCTTCTCAGGGCAGTGATGTTGTTGTTGTTAGGTGCCGTCGAGTCGGTTCTGACTCCTAGCCACCCTACGTATAACAGAACAAAACACTGCCCGGTCCTGCACCATCCTCTCAATCGTTGTTGTGCTTGAGCCCATAGTTGTAGCCACTGTGTCAATCCATCTTGTTGAGGGTCTTCCTCTTTTTTGCTGACCCTCTACTTTACCAAGCATGATATCCTTCTCCAGGGACTGATCCCTTCTGATAACATGTCCAAAGTATGTGAGACGTAGTCTTGCCATCCTTGCTTCTAAGGAGCGTTCTGTCTGTACTTCTTCCAAGACAGATTTGTTTGTTTTTCTGGCAGTCCGTGGTATATGCAATATTCTTCGCCAACACCATAATACAAGGCAACAATTCTTCTTAGGTCTTCTTTATTCATTGTCCAGCTTTTGCATGCGTATGAGGAGATTGAAAACACCATGGCTTGGGTCAGGCCAAGCTTAGTCCTTAAAGTGACATCTTCGCTTTTTAGCACTTTAAAGAGGTCTTTTGCAGCAGATTTGCCCAATGCAATTCGTCTTAGATTTTCTTTCTTTTGCGTCATTTGATTTCTTGAGTACTGCTTCCATGGGTGTTGACTGTAGATCCAAGTAAAATGAAATCTTTGACAACTTCAATCTTGTCTCTGTTTATCATGATGTTGCTTATTGATACAGTTGTGAGGATTTTTGTTTTCTTTGTGTTGAAGTGTAATCCATAGTGAAGACTGTGGTCTTTGATCTTCATCAATAAGTGCTTTGAGTCCTCTTCACTTTCAGCAAGCAAGGTTGTGTCATCTGCATATTGTAGATTGTTCATGAGTCTTCCTCCAATCCTGATGCCAAGTTCTTCTTCACGTAGTCTAGCTTCTCAGATTATTTGCTCAGCATTTAGATCGAATAAGTATGGTGAAAGGACACAACCCTTTTGCACATCTTTCCTGATTTTAAACCATGCAGTATCCCCTTGTTCTGTACTTATGACTGCCTCTTGGTCTATGTACAGGTTCCTTATGAGCACAATTAAGTGTTCTGGAATTCCCATTCTTCGAAATGTTATACATAATTTGCTATGATCCACACAGTCGGATGCCTTTGCATAGTCAATAAAACACAGGTAAATATCTTTCTGGTATTCCCTGCTTTCAGCCAAGATCCATCTGACATCAGCAGTGATACCCCTAATTTCACATCCTCTTCTGAATCCAGCTTGAATTTCTGGCAGCTCCTTGTTGATGTAGTGCTGCAACTGCTTTTGAATTATCTTCAGCAAAATTTTACTTGAGTGTGATATTAATGATACCGTTCAACAATTTCTGCATGCTGTTGGATTATCTTTCTTTGGAATGGGTACAAATATGAATCTCTTCCAGTCGTTTGGCCAGGTAGCTGTCCTCCAAATTTCTTGGCATAGACAAGTGGGAGCTTCCAGCTCATTCTTACCTGTGTTTTATTAACTATGCAAAGGCATTTGACTGTGTGGATCATAACAAATTATGGATAACACTGCAAAGAACGGGAATTCCAGCACACTTAATTGTGCTCATGTGGAACCTGTACACAGATCAAGAGGCAGTCAAGCAAACAGAACAAGGGGATACTGCATGGTTTAAAGTCAGAAAAGGTGTGCATCCAGGTTGTATCCTTTCACCATAACTATTCGATCTGTATGCTGAGCAAATAATCTGAGAAGCTGGACTATATGAAGAACACAGCACCAGGATTAGAGGAAGACCCATTAACAATCTACGATATGCAGATGACACAACCTTGCTTGCTGAAAATGAAGAGGACTTGAAGCACTTACTGATGAAGATCAAAGACTACAGTCTTCAGTCTGGATTGCACCTCAACATAAAGAAAACACAAATCCTCACAACTGGACCAATTAGCAACACCATGATAAATGGAGAAAAGATTGAAGTTGTCAAAGATTTCATTTTATTTGGATCCACAGTCAACATCTATGGAAGCAGCAGTCAAGAAATCAAACGACATATTACACTGGGCAAATCTGCTGCAACAGACCTCTTTAAAGTGAGCAAAGTTGTCACTTTAAGGACTAAGGTGTGCCTGACCCAAGCCATGGTATTTTCAATTGCTTCATATGCATGTGAAAGCTGGACAATGAATAAGGAAGACTGAAGAAGAATTGATGCCTTTGAATTATGATGTTGGCGAAGAATATTGAATATACCATGGACTGCCAAAAGAACGAACGAATCTGTCTTGGAATAAGTACAGCCAGAATGCTCCTTAGAAGCCAGGATGGTGAGACTTCATCTGACGTACATTGTACGTGTTATCAGGAGTGACTAGTCCCTGGAGAAGGACGTCATGCTTCATAGAGGGTCAGCAAAAAAGAGGAAGACCCTCGATGAGATGGATTGACACAGTAGCTGCAACAATGGGATCAAGCATAACGATTGTTGGGATGGCACAGGACCAGGCAGTGTTTCATTCTGTTGCACGTAGGGTTGCTATGAGTCAGAACCAACTCGACGGCACCTAACAACAACATGCCAGTCTTGCAGGACTGAAATATGGTGAATGGCTGGGAAAACCAGGACTTGAACCTGAATTTGACTTCAAAGCTGATATTCTACTCTGCAACCAAGCTGCTTTTCTACGAAAATCCTCACCTGCTCCCACTGGGTAGACAACTTCTCTAAGTTATAGCTGAGAATGAGAGTATTTGGAGTGGTTTCAGTCTAGTCCTTTGTGCAAGCAGTTCTACAGGTAAACAATGCATGTTACTTGTGCCAAGGTGACAATATTCTCCCATACATCACCTCACCATGATGATCTAGTGGCAGCTCTATGAACACACCGCTTCTCAGAGGCCATCCATCAAGTCTGCTGGGAAGGTGAAAGGAAAGACATCAGGAAGCCCTGTCAAGCACCGCCCCGGGCCAAGTTTTCTTCTTTTTTTGTGTGCTTCAGATGAAGGTTTACAGAGCAAATTAGTTTCTCATTAAACAAGTAATACACATATTGTTTTGTGACATTGGTTGCCAATCCCACATGTGAACACTCCCCCCTCTTGACTTCGAGTTCCCCATTGCCAGCTTTCCTGTCCCCTCCTGCCTTCTCGTCCCTGCCGCTGAGCTGGTGTGCTCATTTAGTCTTGCTTTGTGAGCCTGTCTGATCTTTGGCTGAAGAGTGAACCTCAGGAGTGACTTCATTACTGAGCTATAAGGGTGTCTGGGGCCATACTCTCAGGGTTTCTCGTCTCTGTCAGACAGTAAGTCTGGTCTTTGTGAGTTAGAATTTTGTTCTACATTTTTCTCCAGTTCTGTCCAGGACCTTCTATTGTGATCCCTGTCAGAGCAGTCAGTGGTGGTAGCCGGGCACCATCTAGCTGTGCTGGACTCAGTCTGGTGGAGGCTGTGGTAGCTGTGGTCCATTTGTCCTTTAATCTTTCCCTTGTGTCTTTGGTTTGGGCCAGGTATTTTCAAGTGTATAATTGTGTCTCGCAAGCCTTGTAAGGATGCAGAAAGGCATTTATCTCATAGCACAGAAGAGAAAGCCCAGAGAGGACTCGGAGAGGGTGAGTAGCCTCTGTTCTGACTGCCTCCAAAGTCTACTGAACCAAGATGGCAGAACAATTAATCCCAGGACTTACCCTTACAAGTGAGTCCCTGTTGATACTTTTATATTACTATGGTCTTTAGACTGGAGTCCTTGGGTGGGGACAGTTAATACACTTGGCTGCTAACTGAAAGGCTGGAGGTTCGCATCCACCCAGAGGTCCCTTGGAAGAAAGGCCTGGTGATCTATTTCCCAAAAAACCAGCTATTGAAAACCCTGCGGAACACAGTTCTACTCTGACACACACTGGGTCACTGTTAATCAGAATGAACTTGAAGGCAACTGGTTTGGTTTGGTCTTTATACAGGCATCCCTTGGTATCTGTGGGGGCTTGGTTCGAGGACACACCACCACCGTACCAAAATCCGAGGGTGCTCAAGTCCCTTATATAATGGTGTAGTATTTGCATATAACTTATGAACATCCTCCTATATGCTTTAAATCATCTCTAGATTACAATGTAAATAGCTGTTATACTGTATTGTTTTGGGAATAATGACAAGAAAGAAAAGAGTGTTTTTTTCCGAATATTTTCAATCCACGGTTGAATGAACTGGCGGATGTAGAACCCAGGGATATGGAGGGCCGACTGTATTAATAAAAATGCTGGAGGAAACACACAGTATTATATAGAAAGGCAAGTTTCATTTATTCAAATTAAATTATAGTCTGAGTTTCATATACAAATAGAACCTCTGTGTAAATATTTAAAAATACAAAATGTTACAAATTTCAATTTTGTAAAAATAATATTTGTATTATATATATTTCTCTTTAACACGACCAAAATGTACAGTAGTTGACACAGAGTACACCCTCTATCATGCTAGCTACAGTCAGTGGGAGAATTTCTCAAGCCTTTGGCGTCTGCGGTTCAAGCCCTCCCCTCCTGTGGCTGCCTCAGGGGTGAACCAGCAGGCCTTTCTCCCAAACCCTGAGGTCAAGCCGCTTCCAATTGTTCAGCCACCATCAGGAAGGAAATGATCCAAATACTCTCTCTGGTTAGCACGGTCCAGTCACGGGGGAAATGGTTTGCTTCTGCAGCCCTGGTACCACCAGTCTGCCAAACTTGGAGCAACTCTCGTGCGGAGAAATGCTGGCGCGGACTGTCGCTGACGTAGACCATCACTGGTCCAGCTCGCTTTCATTCTGCAGCGTCTTCATCGCTAGACCCCAGAGAGTCATGCTGGAGAAAAACTGTCCCTCTGAGTTCCTATAAGCTGTGGAAGGGGCCCGGCTGCCAAGAGCATCACTGCAGTGATTGTCCAGGGCTGCCAGGGACGAGCGGATGATGGACATGCTGTCTGCCGGCAGCGGCTCGTCCACGGCCGAGGCCTCCACGTCCCCGTAAGCGTACGCCGGATGCGCTGTCGGCTGCATCTGGGGCTTGGCAAGCTTAACAGGGTCCAAACTCAGTTTCTCCTGGTCGCTGATGCCATGAGATTGAATCATGGGCCGCAGCTTACAATAGGGACCTGCAGAGTGGCTGTCGAATTCTGTCGTGGAATTTTCTGCTGGGTGGACAGGAAGTTTAACCGACAATGGCATCAAAGTCACGGACATGTCCTGGGAGAAAGAGTCGGAGCTCTGCGACCTGTCTAGGTCAGGGGCCTCGATGACACGGCTGAATCCCTCCGGTGCGCTCCGGCTTTCCATGTCGGCCTTGCCGTGCATCTTCTTGTGGCGCCGCAGTACAGCCGAGCGAGTGAAGCACTTGTTACAGATCTCACAGGTATATGGCTTCTCCCCGGTGTGCGTGCGCACGTGCCTGCGGAGGTCCCCGGATCCGCCAAAACATTTTCCTGCAAAAAGGAAAAAGGTTGTTTTTAAAAGTGGGCATTCTGAATGGACGCCCTCCCCTCCCGCCTTCTAAAAAAATTAAACGAGTCTGATTTCACCGGAGCAGTGCTGAACCCTGCTGCCAGCACGCATGGTCCTCCGACGCCATGGGTCACTTTACAGATGCTTCCGTTCTTTCCGGGCGGAGAGGGGCTTCCCCAAGGGCAGCACCCCCCCACCCCAGTAGCCTTTAGACTTCCAGTGTCGCAGGCCTAGTCTCCTGCCGTGTCCACGGCACGGGGCGCGTGCTGGGAAGCCGGCGTGCGCGTGCCTGTCCTCGCGGATCCCGGGCGGGGAACCACTGCTCTCCAGCCAGTCTCATCCCAATTCTCCTTAAATCCAACATGACCAGTCTATAATTTAGAAGCAGCTTTCCTCAAGGTATTTAAATATTCAGCTTTTAACACAATGTTACATACACTACTCTAGATTCTATGTCTTTTCTGTGTACATGGTGGAGGTAAGGGATCTAGTCCCATGATTAGAATAGGTAAGAAGATGAGAAGACAAAAATCAATAAATAACTGGACAGAGGTAATAATGTGTTTACAAGAGACTACAGGTGAATAAATACATGACACAGTTTATGTGGGTATATATTTAGAACTTCTCGCTTATCCATTAAAAAAACCAGTTGCTGTGGACTCGGCTCTGACTCAAGGCGACCCCACGCGTTTAAGAGTAGAACTGTGCTCCTTAGGGTTTTCAATGCCTTTTTTGGAAGTACGTTGCCAGGCCTTTCTACCAAGGCGCTTCTGGATGGACTTGAACCACAAACCTTTTGGTTAGTAGCCAAGCATGTTAACTATCTGCACCACCCAGGAACTCTCACTTATCCACGTCACTGTGTTTGAACTCACAGCTAGCCAGCCCTCATCAAGCAACAGGTAGACTTTTTTTTAAAAAAAAAAGCCTTTGCACAATCAGCCTAGATGTCAATGCCCATGCATTAAATTTGGGGTGCTTTTTTCATTATAACAAAAAAAACAAGATACCACAATAATCTTTATCTCTGAGTAGTCACACCTGCGTTTTACCCAGAACGCCAAGGTTCTCATCAGTTAACATCACAGTAAAAGCATTTTTACACCACGCTGTGTCGTCTCTAGAGAGTACGTTTTCTCCAGAATGTGGTATTTTATGGATTAGAAACTTCAGTGCCAATCCTCCAGCGGAGACACTTGGGCCGCTTCCACCCATTTGTTACTGTAGCGGATACTCAATGGGCATCTCTGAGCACAGAGCTTCTACCTTCTTCTTGTTTCCTTTAGATACATTCTCAGCAGTGCAATTACTGGGCAAGGGGGTGCCCATTTTTAGGGTCCTTACTATGTATAAAAGCAGCCCTGGTGGCACAAACGATTTGTGCTCAACTACCGTGAAAATATGGCGGCATCTGACCTCGTCTAACTTCAGCGGGAGGAAAGAGAATTTGCAACAGCATCAGCCCAAAGCTGATTCCTACGAGGTGGAGGTCAGACATAGCTCCACACTCCAGCCTTTTTTTCAGTTCTGACACCAGCCATCCCTCCCACGGCACTCTCTACTTCTCTGCTGGGTTTGATAATTCATTCCAATGGCCACACAGAACTCACAGACCATACTCATACTTACGAGGTTTATTAGGGAAGTAACAGGTTACAATTCAGGATCAGGATCAACTTGGAAGTAACAGGAACAACTCAGGATACAGTTCTCCGATCAGGACAGCTTCTTCTCAGCTGCTGCCACCAGGCCCTCACTCTCAGGGCATGTATTACAAAGCTCTTTAGCTCCATCAGTAAATGTCCAGAGGCATCCCATGCCACCAGCAAGCCTCCTGCCCAAAGGTGCTCAGCTCTCTCGCTCCGTAGGGTCGGCAAGCCCACTGTAGCCACCTCACTCCATGAGCTGGGAAGCCCACTGAGCCGTCTTGTGCCAGTCTCCTGGTTCTGTTGTTGTTTCTCCTCCACTGGACTCTGCCGTGCTTACTGCTGCTTCTCGCCATCTCGTGCCATCTCAGGTGGTACAGCTCTCCCTGGCTCCTGGGTTTAGGAGGTTCTCAGTGCAGGGACCCCAGGTCTAAAGGACATGCTCTACTTCTGGCTCTTCTTCTTGATGGTACTGAGGTCCCCCTCCAACCTCTGGGATTGGCTCCCTTTAAGCCTAGCAGGATGGTGAAACTAACCAATCTCCTGCAACGGTTTCATGCACCTTTTTTGCATGGCTCCCCCTCACCCACAAACATTTCATGTACCTTATTCGCACTAATGTGCAATCCTCTTGTTGGGCCACAAGTACCTTATTTGCATAGTCCCACTCAATCATTTTGTGGGAGTTACATGTACATGGCTAGAAAGGCCACATTGAAGCAATTCACTGCACCACAACTACTAACCAAAAGAATAGTGGTTCGAACTCACCCAGCGGCTCTGTGGAAGAAAGGCCTGGAGATCTGCTCCCATAAAGATTACAGCTCTGCTCTGTAACATGGGATGGCCATGAGTCAGAACTGACTCAATGGCAACCAGTTTGGATTTTTGGTTTTAATATATATAAATTTTAGTCATAGTAGAGTAGCCTTTTCTAACTGGAAGAGATTCAGATTTGTGCCCATTCCAAAGAAAGGTGATCCAACAGAATGCAGAAATTATTAAACAATGTCATTAATATCATACACAAGTAAAATTTTGCTGAAGATCACTCAAAACTGGTTACAGCAGTACATCGACAGGGAACTGCCAGAAATTCAAGCTAGATTCAGAAGAAGAC